TCAGTATGATATTGGCTGTGGGTTTGTCATCAATAGTTCTATACATTCCATGAATACCTAGTTTATTGAGAGTTTTTAGCATAAAGGGGTGTTGAATTTTATCAAAGGCCTTTTCTGCAACTATTTAGATAATCGTGATTTTTGTCATTGGTTCTGTTTATGTGATGGATTACATTTATCAATTTGTGTATGTTGAAGCAGCCTTGCATCCTAGGAATAAAGTTGACTTGATCATGGTGGATAAACTTTTTGATGTGCTGCTGGACTCAGTTTGCCAATATTTTATTGAGGATTTTTGCATCAATGTTCATCAAGGATATTAGCCTAAATTTTTCTTGTTGTTGTTGTGTCTCTGCCAGCTTTTGGTACCAGGATGATGCTGGCCTCATAAAATGAGTTAGGGAGGAGTCCCTCTTTTTCTATTGTTTGGCATCGTTTCAGAAGTAACAGTACCAGCTTCTCTTTGTACCTCTGGTAGAATTTGGCTGTGACTCCATCTGGTCCTGGGCTCTTTTTGTTGGTAGGCTATTAATTACTGCCTCAATTTCAGAACTTATTATTGGTCTATTCAGAAATTCAACTTCTTCCTGGTTTAGTCTTGGGGGGGCATATGTGTCCAGGAATTTATCCATTTCTTCTAGATTCCCTAGTTTATTTGCATAGAGGCGTTATTATTCTCTGATGGTAGTTTGTATTTCCGTGGGATGAGTGTTGATCTCCCTTTTATCATTTTTTATTGTGTCTATTTGATTATTCTCTCTTTTCTTCTATATTAGTCTGGCTAGCAGGCTATCTATTTTGTTAATGTTTTTAAAAAACCAGCTCCTGGATTCATTGATTTTTTTGAAGGCTTTCTTTGTGTCTGTATCTCCTTCAGTTCTGCTCTGATCTTAGTTATTTCTTGTCATCTGCTAGCTTTTGAATTCATTGCTCTTGCTTCCCTAGTACTTTTAATTGTGATGTTGGGATGTTGATTTTAGATCTTTCCCACTTTCTCCTGTGGGCATTTAGTGCTATAAATTTCCCTCTAAACACTGCTTTAGCTGTGTCCCAGAGACTTTGGTATGTTATGTCTTTGTTCTCATTGGTTTCAAAGAACATCTTTATTTCTGCCTTCATTTCATTACTTACCCAGTAGTCTTTCACAAGCAGATTGTTTAGTTTCCATGTAGTTGTGTGGTTTTTAAGTGAGTTTCTTAATCCCAGGTTCTATTTTGATTGCATTGTGGTCTGAGAGACGGTTTGCTATGATTTCCATTCTTTTGCATTTTCTGAAGAGTGTTTTACTTCCAATTACATGGTCAATTTTAGAATAAGTGTGATATGATGCTGAGAATGTATATTTTGTTGATTTGGGGTGTAGAGTTCTGCAGATGTCGATTAAGTTCATTTGGTGCATAGCTGAGTTAAAATCCTGAATATACTTGTTAATTTTCTGTCTCAATGACCTGTGTAATATTGACCATGGGGTGTGGAAGTCCCCCACTATTATTGGGTGGAGTCTAAGTCCTTCTGTAAGTCTCTAAGAACTTGCTTTGCTTTATGAATCTGGGTGCTCCTGTATTAGGTGCATGTATATATTTAGGATAGTTAGCTCTTCTTGTTGCATTGATCTCTTTACCGTTATGTAATGCCCTTCTTTGTCTTTTTTGATCTTTGTTGGTTTTGTTGGTTTAAAGTCTGTTTTATCAGAGACTAGGACTGCAACCATTGCTTTTTTTTTCTCTCTCCATTTGCTTGGTGAATAATCCTCCATCCCTTTATTTTGAGCCTATGTGTGTCTTTGCATGTGAGATGGGTCTCCTGACTACAGCACATTGATGGGTCTTGACTCCATTTACCAGTCTGTTCCTTTTAATTGGGGCATTTAGCCAGTTTACATTTAAGGTTAATATTGTTATGTGTGAATTTTATCCTGTCATCATGATGCTAGTAGTTATTTTTCCCATTAGTTGATGCAGTTTCTTCATAATATCAATGGTCTTTACAATTTCATATGTTTTTGGAGTGGCTGGTACCAATTTTTCCTTTTTATATTTAGTGCTTCTTTCAGAAGATCTTGTAAGGCAGGTCTGGTGGTGACAAAAATCTCTCAGCATTTTGCTTGTCTGTAAAAGAATTTATGTCTCCTTCACTTATGAGGCTTAGTTTGGCTGGATTTGAAATCCTGGTTTGAAAATTCTTTTATTTAAGAATGTTGAATATTGGCCCCCACTCTCTTCTGGCTTGTAAGTTTCTGCTGAGAGACCTACTGTTAGTCTGATTGGCTTCCCTTTGTGGGTAACCTGATCTTTCTCTCTGGCTGCCCTTAACATTATTTTCTTCACTTCAATCTTGGTGAATCTGATGATTATGTGTCTTGGGGTTGCTTTTTCGAGGAGTGTGTTTGTGGTGTTCTCTGTATTTCCTGAATTTGAATGTTGGCCTGCCTTGCTAGGTTGGGGAAGTTCTCCTGGATAATATCCTGAAGAGTATTTTCCAACTTCGTTTCATTCTCTTTGTCACTTTCAGGGATACCAATCAAACGTAGATTTGGTCTTTTCACATAGTCCTGTGTTTCTTGGAGGCTTTGTTACTTTTCATTCTTTTTTCTCTAAACTTGTCTTTATGCTTTATTTCATTAAGTTGATCTTTGATCTCTGATATCCTTTCTTTCACTTGATTAATTCTGCTATTGATACTTGTATATGCTTCAGTAATTTCTCATGCTGTGTTTTTCAGCTCCATTAGGTCGTTTATGTTCTTCCCTAAACTGGTTATTCTAGTTAGCAATTCCTCTAACTTTTTTCAAGGTTCTTAGCCTCCTTGCATTGGGTTAGAGTATGATTCTTTAGCTTGGAGAAGTTTGTTACTGCCCACCTTCTGAAGCCTACTTCTGTCAATTCATAAAACTCATTCCCATCCAGTTTTGTTGACTTTGGTGAGGAATTGTCATCCTTTGGAGGAAAAGAGGAATTCTGGTTTTTGAAATTTTTAGCCTTTTCTCCCTGGTTTTTTCTCATCTTCGTGGGTTCATCTACCTTTGGTCTTTGGTGCTGGTGACACATGGATGGGGTTTTTGTGTGGACGTCCTTTTCGTTGATGTTGCTGTTGATGCTATTTCTTTCTGTTTGTTAGTTTTTCTTCTAACATTCGGGCCCCTCAGCTGCAGGACTACTGGGTTTGCTAGAGGTTCACTCCAGACCCTGTTTGCCTGGTATCACCAGTGGAAGCTGCAGAACAGCAAAGATTGCTGACTGTTCCTTCCTCTGGAAGCTTCATCCCAGAAGGGAACCTGCCAGATGCCAGATGAAGCTATCCTGTATGAGGTGTCTGTTGAGAGGCATCACCCAGTCCGGAGGCATGGGGGTCAGGGACCCACCTGGGAATGCAGTCTATCCTTTAGCAGAGCTTGAGTGCTGTGCTGAGATATCTGCTGCTCTCTTCAGAGCCAGCAGTCAGGAACATTTAAATCTGCTGAAGCTACACCCCCAACTATTCCTTCTTCCAGGTGCTCTGTCCCAGGGAGATGGGAGTTTTATTTATAAGCCCCTGACTGGGGCTGCTGCCTTTCTTTCAGAGATGTCCTGCCCAGAGAGGAGGAATCTAGAGAGGCAGTCTGGCTACAGCAGCTTTGCTAAGCTGCAGTGGGCTCCATACAGTTTGGACTTCCTAGTGGCTTTGTTTACACTGTGAGGGGAAAATAGCTTACTGAAGCTTCAGCAATGGTGGATGCCCCTTCCCCTACCAAGCTTGAGTGTCCCAGGCTGACTTCAAACTCTTGTTCTGGCAGCAAGAATTTCAAGCCAGTGGATCTTAGCTTGCTGGGCTCCATGAGGATGGGATCTGCTGAGCTAGACCACTTGGCTCACTGGCTTCAGCCCCCTTTCCAGGGGAGACAAAGGTTCTTCTCACCAGCACTCCAGGTGCCACAAGGGTATGAAAAAAAAGTTCTGCAGCTAGCTTGCTGTCTGACCAAATGGCTGCCCAGTTTTGTGCTTGAAACACAGGGCCCTGGCAGTGTAGGCGGCTGAGGGAATCTTCTGGTCTGTGGGTTGCAAAGACCCACATAGAAAAACTGGGCAGTATCTGGGCTGGAGTGCACCATTCTTCATGGAACAGTCCCTCATGGCTTCCCTTGACTAGGGGAGGGAGTTCCCTGACCCCTTGCACTTCTCAGGTGAGGCAATGCCCCACCCTGCTTCTGCTTGCCCTCCATGTGCTGAGGTCATTATCTAACGAGTTCCAATGAGATGAGCTGGGTACCTCAGTTGGAAATGCATAAATCACCTGCCTTCTGCTTTGATCTCACTGGGAACTGCAGACAGGAACTGTTCCTATTTGGCCATCTTACCAGTCCCCCCAGAAAAAAATGTTTCAAAGTGTATTATTCTAAATAGCAAATTGTAGAGCAATACATACTATATGTATCTATCTATCTATCTATCTATCTATCTATCTATCTATCATCTATCTATCTATACATGGAGAGAGAGTGATAGATTGATAGGTAGATAGATAGATAGATAGATAGATAGATAACTATTATGACTGAATACCTGTTTATGTCTGTAAAGCTATAAACCACTTAAAACTGTACCTAACTCTAGGAAATAATTTTTTAAAACTCTATATGACTTTATATTGCAGTTATTAATAACTGACATTTTAATTAAGAACTCTTGACAAAGCAATCATTTGGAACCCAGGATGCACTTACCCTTGAAGCCATCCATTCATCTATCCATTCATTTATCCAGTTAATCAACAAACATTGCATGCCAGGAACTATTCCAGATACCTGGATGTGGAAGAAACAGGACATATGTTGCCCTAGAAGAATTTGCTTTTAAAAACGAGGACAAAGAGACAAATAATGAGCAATCAAACAAATAAAAATAATAACTTCTGAGAGTGATAAAAGCTTTTAAGACAATGAAATATTTTAATGTAGAGTATCTGGGGGTGGGGTGCGGAGGATGGATTTTTTGGAGAATGTTAAGAAATAACTTTTGAAACAGGCACGTGGAATATGGAAACCTGGAAGGGGAGCATCCCAGGAAGGTGAAATGGCACCGCTGATGTCAGAGTTGGGAAGGCTGTCATGGACCAGAGCAAGCAGGGGAGAAGATGGTAGGTAATGGGTGGATTCCTGATGGGCATGAGGCTTGTCTGAGGGATTTATGAGGGAGGTTAGAACCAGCAATCACAGAGCACTGGGTGATTCTGTGCCGGTCAGTCGAACACACCAGCTGTTCTAGAAGCCACAATGATTCTACCGAGTGAAGCAAAGTTGTCTCCTAAAAGTAACGTGGAGGTGGGGAAAAGGAGGGAGTTGATGGATGTAGTTATTCATGTTTTGGGTCTGAGTTTGAATCCTGGCTCTGTCTAGGAAAATCGCCTATTCACCCTGGGGTTCTGTTTTCTCACTTGTAACATTTTGTGTGTGGTCATGAGGTCTATTTCACAGGGTGATGGTAGATTTTAAATGAGCCAGGGTACCCACAGTGCCTCAGACTTAGAAGTGAACAGCCATTTTCTGACTCTAAGACTTACTTGTCCCAAGACCACCTAGACAGGGATTCAGACTGTTGGGGTGTATAGTCAGTGCTTGCCGGATGAATGCGGGGAGAGTCAGCTGCTTCATGTGGTTCTGCTCACACTTGTTAGGTTCAATAGCTACTGAGAAGCTAAAGCTGCATGACAGCTAGGAGCCACTAGGAACCTGGCACTAGGGAAGCTCAGCCTGTAGCCATGGACATCACAGAGTTACTAAGGCAATGAGCTTGATTGAATATGTGTGTGTTAGTTATGTTCTTTAACCATACATTCTGTGTGGCTTCTATGTTGCCTTAGTATACTTGTACCATGCCTGCATTTTGCGGTAGTCACAGAAACTACTCTCTGCTCACAGTAAAAGGGACTGGGGTCCTGGTTGTCCCTTGTGAGATGAGAATGATGGAGGCAAGCAGAGGTCCACAGAAAGGGGAACGTCTTCAGGAAAGTGAAACCAGGGTCAAATGAGTGCATGGGAGCTTATCTTTCGTGTAAGGCAGAGGTCCCATTCATAAGAGCACTAACTTTGAATCTTGGCTTTTCTCACTTACTGGCTTGCACTCTCAACTGAGTTGTTTACTAGCATTGGCCTTGGCTTCCAGATCTGTAAAACAAGGATGGCACCCTATTATTTTGATATTACAATTCCTGGATAATAAACTCACAGTTCTTAGAAGAGTTCAGGTACAGAGTGCTCAATAACTGGTGAGAATCCCCAGCACAGAGCTAACCCAGCTCACTTCATAGCACTACTAAGTGGACATTACTGTCCCCACTGTGAATGTGCGAAAATAGACGTTACTGAACTTAAGTAATTTTCAACAAGAGAAAGTTGCTAAGTGGCAGGAGCAGGTCTTGAACCCACACCTAACCCTAAACCCATGCTCATGATTGCAGATGATTGTAGGTCTTGCCTCTCAGACTTGAATATGAGCAAAAAGGAGAAGAACCTTTTTTTGTTTATTTTTTAAATTATGTTTTACTTTAAGTTCTGTGATACATGTGCTGAATGTGCAGGTTTGTTACATAGGTACACATGTGCCATGGTGGTTTGCTGTACCCATCTTCTTGTCATCTAGGTTTTAAGCCCCGCATGCATTAGGCATTTGCCCTAATGCTGTCTCTCCCCTTGCCCTCCAACCACTGACAGGCCCCAATGTGTGATGTTCCCCTCCCTGTGTCCATGAGTTCTCATTGTTCAATGCCCACTTATGAGTGAGAACATGCAGTATTTGGTTTTCTCTTCCTGTGTTAGTTTGCTGAGGCTGGTGGCTTCCAGCTTCATCCATATTCATGCAAAGGGCATGAACTCATTTTTTATGGCTGCATAGTATTCCATGGTGTATATGTGCCACATTTTCTTTATCCAGTCTGTCATTTGGGCACTTGGGTTGGTTTCAAGTGTTTGCTATTGTAAATAATAGCAAATATGTTTAAATAATAAACATATGTGTGCATGTGTCTTTATAGTAGAATGATTTATAATCCTTTGGATATGTACCCAGTAATAAGATTGCTAGGCCAAATGGTATTTCTGGTTCTAGGTCCTTGAGGAATCATCACACTGTCTTCCACAATGATTGAAGTAATTTACACTCCCACCAACAATGTAAAAGTGTTCCTATTTCTCCGCATTCTCACCAGCATCTGCTGTTTCCAGACTTTTTAATGATCACCATTCTAACTGGAGTGAGATGGTATCTCAATGTGGTTTTGATTTGCATTTCTCTAATGACCGGTAATGATGAACTTTTTTTATATGTTTGTTGGATGCATAAATGTCTTCATTTGATAAGTGTCTGTTCATATATTTCACCCACTTTTAGATGGAGTTGTTTTATTCTTGTAAATCTGTTTAAATTCCTTGTAGATTCTGGAGATCGGTCCTTTGTCAGATGGATGGATTGCAAAAATTTTCTCCCATTCTGTAGGTTGCCTGTTCATTCTGATGATAGTTTCTTTGCTGAGCGGAAGCTCTTTAGTTTAATTAGATCTCATTTGTCAATTTTGGCTTTTGTTGCTATTGCTTTCAGTGTCTGAGTCATGAAGTCTTTGCCTATGCCTACATCCTGGAAGGTAAGAAATCTTGACACTGTTAACACAACTCAGAATCTCACTCTGTATCACCTCATTTTAAGGTGATATAATGACAATGCTTGGGACAATGTGAAGCATATGTAGAAGATAAGACATTGCCCTTAATCCCCTGTCAACACAAGACTTCCCAGAAGTAGAAACAACCACGGTACTGCATGGCTGGGCATGCAGCTCACAGGCAGTCTCCAAAATACTGCTGCATGTGGGAAACGCTGAGTGAGGAGGCTTTCTCAGATGATGTTGTCCAGGCCCCCTCAGTCCCCAGGACAATGTGGACAGAGTTCTGTGCATGGGTCCTAGAGTGTCTGGGGACCTTTTTTGGCAGCCCATTTCATCTCTTGCCCTGTTCTGAAATCTTGACACTGCTAACATAACTCAGAGTCTCACTCTGCACCAACTTCCCACGGAGCTCTGTCTCCCCAGCATCAGCACACACACTGGCATCCTCCCAGCTGTCCAGCACATGAACTCAGTTCTGAGTTTACTCACACTTAACAACTTGGTTTTCTCTCTTACGCTCTAAAAGCCAGATTTTGGTATGCAAGGAGTCCTCAAATCCAGTAGATTTGGGATCTTTGGTTGGTTTGGTTTGTTAATCAAAACCTCAGTTAAGCAAAGTACCACAGAAATAATATTTGGGTATGATAAATGTAACATATACATGAATATTTGGTTACTAATCTTGTGACAAAAAACCAAAGCCTCTTCTGAGGTGTCTGTCCAGTAGGAGTCCCATGATGTCTTCCTTGCATAACGCATGTCTAATCTGCGTCCTCTATACGTTCCGTGTTAGCTACTTTAAAACAGACTCAAAACTTTAAAACTATTGCCAAGCTTTCTGATTGTAGAGTTTTAGTGGCTCTTTCCCATTTTAGTTCCCCAATAGGTTACAGCTATTTGGAAACACTGAATTTGGTAGCATTATTTTTTAATGACTATGTTCAACAAGTCTTTCCACAACTTGCAATTTAATTTTCACACGGATTTCTTCTGGATATCTACCCAGAGGAAAGAAGTTATATTTAAAGGATACTTGCACATTCATGTTTATAGTGGCACAATTCACAATTGCAAAATTGTGGAACCAACCCAAATACCCATCAATCAATGAGTGGATAAAGAAACTGTGTTGTGTGTGTGTCTGTGTGTGTGTGCATGTGTGTTTCTGAATACTACTACTCAGCCATAAAAAGGAATGAATTAACAGCATTTGCAGTGACCTGAATGAGGCTGGAGACTATTATTCTAAGTGAAGTAACTCAGGAATGGAAAACCAAATATCGCATGTTCTCACCGATATGTGGGAGCTAAGCTATGAGGATGCAAAGGTGTCAAAGAATGATACAATGGACTTTGGGGACCTGGGGGTAAGAGTGGGAGTGGCGAGGGATAAAAGACTACAAATAGGGTGCAGTATATACTGCTTGGGTGGTGGGTGCACCACGATCTCACAAATCACCACTAAAGAACTTAGTCTTGTAACCAAAAACCACCTGTACCCCAATAACTTATGGAAAAATAATAAAATAAATAAATAAAATATCTATATAATAAAAAATAATTTGTACAGGAATGACAACTCGTTTGTACCCATATCTCTTAAATTTGAATAAATTTACTTAATTTAAATAACTTTGAAAACAAGTATAAGGATTATAATGATATGAGGAAAATGAAGACTGACTGCTGACAAGCATCCAGCTCACATGAGGAGGGGAGGGAGAGCCAGAGTGGCCCAGGGAGCAGGAACTTCACCTGCCTTCTGCATGTGCACAGCAGAGTGGACCGTGTCCAGGAGTCTGGAGAATCAGCTGAGGGGCTGGTTGAGAAAGCTTCAGAATACATGCTGACCATTTTCTTAGAATGTGCTCCCCAGCGATCCACCTGACCATCTTCTTCTAATTCTCTATTTATACTTTAGGTGACACACTGTCTCCTCTGCTAAACCTTTCCTGTCTTTATTCCAAGACTGCCTTTCCTAGATACTTCAATTGTACCTAGAACTTTCTATTAATAATCAAACTTAAAACATCACATTGCAATTATGTTTCCATTATTAATCTTCACTACTAAATTATGATTTCCTTCCATCAGGTCCTGTGCCTTATTTGCCGTTATTTCTCCAGAGCCCAGCACAATGTCTTTCTCACTGCAAATATAAATGTTTATGAAAGAACAAGCAAACCTAAAATGGTCCAGTCCTACCAGGCCAACAGACAAATAAACCCACAAAACCTAGACTAAGCTCTCAAAGCTTGATCTTCTTAACTGACACCTTTCAGTCAACCTAACCTGCCCAAACGCTATGTACTCTACTATCAACATGTGCAATGCTGCCTTAAATTTTCACTGGGAGCCTCCTCACTGCTGTCCCAGATCCACGAAGTTTTCTCTTGACTTTGGCGTCCTGCTTATGCCTCCCAATTTCTCCCCTTGACCTGGTGTTAGGATCTGATTTCCCTGGGCATCTGGATTGAATCCACCCTTCAGGCTTTTCCCACCTTGGTAAATTTTAGACAGAATATGCTGTCTGGCTCTGCTCCTGGTGATTCAACCCTCACTGTCTGTACTTGCCCTCACGAGTGTTGACCTCAGGGAAGAATGGTTGTAGATGGGCTGGAGAGTTCTTCAGTGATGCCACACCTGATGATCTCATACAAATATCCCCAAAGCAAGGACATCCCTTGTGACAACTTCCTAAATTGAGGTTCCTTAATTTTCCAGGGTAGCCCCTCTTAAGTCTTAAACTCAAAGCCAAAGTCTGGACCAAAGTCTTAGAGGACCAGAAAGAAGTTTTAAAATTCCCTGTACTATGCCTACTGGAAGGTTGACAAACTTGTGTACTAAGACTTGTCTCCTGACCTGTGATTCTGCAGTCCTCACCAAGGAATTTCAGGTCTTCTCCATGATAGGTGGACATGGTAGGCAATGTTCACAGTGAACAGACCGGTCAGGTCACCATGAGGAAAACGTGATCCAAGTTATGCAGAAATACTCGCTTGTAGCAAATATCAAGGCCTCGAAAATCACATTTCTGTATCGTATCAGATGTTTAAATTTGATCAACATAGACTGCAACTGAATGCCCCTCAACAGGCCCTTTTCCCCCTAAGAACTCCTGGTTTGAGTGTCTGCAGACTTCTCCATGTCGTCATGTAACCTGGGATTCCGTATGTGTTACTTTTGCTTCTTAGATTGGTTGCCTTTGCTTAGATTGTTGGCCTTGGGGCAGGTTTCAATGGCTGTCTTGTAATATGACCAGGTAAGAATATCTGGGAAACCTTTTTTATTTTTGATTGGTGATGGTTATGTCGGTAATTCTTGATGAATATACTGAAGCCAGGAGTCCCCTTCTCCTTGCATCGTGTTTACGCTTCACATCAACCAGGAACACAATCTGAGAAGTTTCCCTGGACCAAGAGAGAAAGAATGTTGTTCTGGGAAGGAATCAAGCCTGGCTAACTCTCCAGGAGGAGAAATGGTGTCTGATCTTGCTGATTCCTGCTTTAAGTATTAAATTCTCAAATCAGAATGTATGTGTGCACGCAGGTGCAACACACACACACACACACACAAAACCACTGACAACAGTAACGACCTCCATGAGGGGAAGTCATGCATCCATAAGCATAACTGAAAGATGTCTGAACCTCAGGGAGCCACATGATTTTCCAGTCAATCATTGTCTCTCTTGTGCTCCCAAGACTGAGCTGTGAGAAAAACTAAGGCATGACGTGGCATCCATGGGCCCAGCCCAGGCTTGTTGCAGCAGTCATGGCTCCACACATGCAACGAACTACAGAGAGAGCTGAGACCTCGGAAGGAACGAGCAGACTTGAGTGACAGAGAACTTGGAGCAAGAGAGGGATTGGAGTAGAGCTGGAAGACCGTGAGGGCCTCTCCTGCAGGAGCTGCTGAGTTAGCATCTCCCAAACACCTCCCAGCACCTAGTCAGCACCTCCCAAACTCATCTGACCATGGGATTAAATTACAGTGTTCGAGTAAAACACTAATTAAGGGTTAAGAAGATAGCGTAATTCTTTCCTCAAAATAGGAAAAATCACAATTTTATTATTTTGGAATTTGTAATAGAAAAAAATGCATCAATAAAAAACACTTTTTTTTTACAACATACGTTTTGGTTGCTTATAGTTAGTATAACATTCTCTCATTCTAGCTTTGAATCTTCCTTCTGAGAAGCAGTGCATGCTGAGATCAGAGCTGCTCTTCATCAGAAGGTTCAAAGAACTGGTCACCAGCTGGACTGAAGGACATGGCACTGTCCTCCTCTTCTCCCTCTGTGGGACTGGAGCCTGGTCTCACTGCTGAGCTGAGAGACAGCCCCCACATGGGTACTCCTGGGCCTCCAGAAGGCACCCTGTGCAGACTCACTCCCAGCCCTGACTCATTCCTCAGCTCTCCTTGAAGACCATCATCAACAAGTCTTAGCTTAGCCTCTCCCTGGGGCTTGCCCTATTGAAATGCTCCCCTGGACACTCACCTGCGGCCACAGGTGCCAGGAGGGGACAGCATCAAAGACAGTGGAGCCCTTCCTGGGCTTCAGCTGTCTGTTTCTTAAAGTAGCTTAAATTACACACACTGCAAAGTCCAAGAATTAATTTTTTTCAATTAAAAAATATTTTTAGAGAGTTGTAGGTTCACATGCAACAGTAAGAAATAATACAGAGATTCTCGTTTCCCCCAGTAATAACATCTTGCATAAGAATAGTTGTCATAACCAGAAATTAACATTGATCCAACCAGCCACTTTATTCAGATTTCACCAGTTTCACACTCACTTGTGTGTGTGTGTGTGTGTGTGTGTGTGTGTGGTTCCATGCAGTTATATCACGTGTCCAGTCATGTGACTCCACAGTCGAGAAACAGAGCATTTCCATCACCAGGAGGGTTCCTGGTGTTACCTTTCTAATTGTTCTCTTCTCAGCCAGGTGTGTGCAGGTGATACCTGAGAGGCACCGAGTATGACTGCATCATGGCAAATGGTGTCAGCATGTGGTCTGTACCCAATGTTTGTATCCCCCAACTTCAGATGTCAAAATCCTAATGCCCAAGGTGATGGTATTTGGAGGTGGGGCCACTGGGAAATGATTAGATCAAGAGGGAGGAGTCTTCATGAATGAGATTAGTGCCCTTATAAAAGGGACCCCAGGGGACTTAGTCACATCTTGCTGTGTGGGGACACAGCAAGAAGGCACCAGCTATGAACCAGGGAGCAGGTCCTCAACAGACACCAAACTGCTGATGTCTTTGTCTTGGACTTTCCAATCTCCAGAACAGTGAAAAATAAATGTTTGTTGTCTAAGCCTCCCAGTCTATGATAGTTTTGTTAGGGCAGCCTGCACTGAGACAGCATATGCTATTTCCTCTCCTCTCCTCTCCTTGCAGGGATCTTTGGAATGAGGGAGGGGGACCAAATCGTCACTCTGCCCTTCAACATCAACCAAAAAGAGAGCACAGATGAGAGGAAAAACAGTTTTGTCAACAGGTCCTCCCGGTCATGGGGATGGAAAGTCACATAACTTCCTAGACTGTTTGCACACTGTTGAAATGAGGTCATGCCTGCCACAGAACACAGGGCTCCTGGGGCCTAGGGGGAGGTCCTCTCTGAAGATGGCCTTTGAACCTTGGTCCATTCCATTCACAGGATGGCTCCAGGATTCAGGGAACATGCGACCGCAGATTCACAGATCACCCGGTGTCAGCCGTGTGTAAAGCAGAAGGACCAGTCCAGCAGTCACTCACTCCTCAGGGAAGATGGCTTCCTGTGTGTGAACTTCCACTTTGACCCAAGGCTTCCCCAGCTGGCCTGGAGTCCCCACAGACCTGGGAGATTGATGCATGGTTCCATGTGGCCATAGAACCTCCTTCCTGGATGCAGGATTTCTAGGTGTGAATCTGGGAGAGCTGTTCCTGGAGCCCCTGGCCCATGAGGCTCAGATCCTTGATGCACAGCCTGCTTCTAAGCCTCATGGACTTTGACTCACTGTGATTCCCCCACGGTGACCTCATCAGCTTATCTCAGGCTCAAAAACATGCCAGCACTGCTCTTAACTTTATAAGTGTTGGCAAGGTGTCAGACACTTGGTTTTCACAAATGTCTTTGTCCCCTTAAATTCCAGGGGAGGTGCCAAAAAGTGGCATCCTATCCACAGCCCAGGACTTGGAGGAAGTTACTTCTCACACTTGCCAACTCAGGTGTTTGAAGAACTGAGGTAGTGTTCTAAGCTGTTTGTGTGTATTCTCTCAATCCTCACAGAATCCCAATCAGGTAGGGGCTATCATCTCCACATTTTGTTAATGTGGAAACTAAGGAACAGAGAGGTTGAGTAAATTATCCCAAACTACACAGCTAATTGAGGGAGTTTGAGGCTGTCCCAAATGACAATGATGGCTCCCAATTGCTTCAACTTGGTATTCAAGACTATGTCTACCATACAGACTTTTTCTCTTTCTTTCCCTGACAACTTCCTCCTAGTTACTGAGTTAGAATTTCAAGAGAAAAATAAATAAGATAGAGGATTTGATCACCCTTTCGCTGTATGTCCTTTTAATTCTCCAACTCAGGGTGGAGGCATGGGGGGCAGCTCAGGGTCGAGGTGGGGCAGAGGTGTCACATACAGTGGGAATTCAGGGGGGATTCCCAGTTAGCAGCTCCATTGCTCCCCAAATGTGCCTATTTGGCCCAGAAGAGCAGAGAGGATCCTTGCGGGAGTGTCTCACCTCCTACTTGAAAGCCCTGGCCTGAACTCTCCTGCCTGTGTCCTGTGGACCCAGGCTGAGCCCTGAGACGGAGATGAGCTGAGCTCCTCTGTGGGCAGTCACAGCCCATCCCCATAGGTACAGAGGAGACCCAGTGGGGAGAGCTCTTACCCTGCTGCCACCACCAAACTCGTGAAACTGGGTGCTGAGGGCAGGCTGACCGGGGAACCTGAACATCCTAACAGCAATGGACACACTTGGATGAGTTTCACACCAAGAACTGCTGAGTACTGGGTAGGCTGGATGGAGCAGAGATGCTTCAACAGCCTGGGCTAGAAGTGGGCCTGACAGGGTAGAAAGAGGCTCATGGGGTGGGATTTGGGACTCCTCAGCCAGGCCCAGGGTGTCTGTGTACAATGAGAGGAATGGCTTCTGCTGCAAGACACAGGCTGGGCTCAGAGAACCAAATGCAGATGGAAAGGGTGGGGAGCAGCGGGCGGCTCAGAGGCAGGACTTGGGTCTCTTCCAGAGCTTCTATGGGTCTGTCTCCCTGTCTCTTGGTGCAGGGGGCTGAGCCCTATTCCACAGTAATGATGAGGGAGGGACTAATCAAAGTGTATGTGCCTTAGAGACCCTATCTTCTCACCAAGCGTTGGGGCCATGGTCTCCCCTACATCCCTCCCACACCCACAGGTGCCCTGGGGTCAGGCGAACAATGGGTAGAGAAGCCTAGTGAGCTGAAGAACCCTGATCTTGGAGTTGTCCCTGCAATCCCATCAGAGGCCTTGACTCAGAGCTGCACACCTGCACCGGCTGAAGGAACAGGACCCCGGGCTGCAGGGGGCAGGCCACCTCGGAACCCTCTTCACTGAAGCACTGGAGCCTGGGCGGGTTTCCATCAGCCAAGTCAAGTAATTGAGCTCAGATTAGATTAAATCCAGACACATCCCATGTTTAGTGCCAATTACTCACAGCCAGCAGGGGCGGACGAGGGGTCTGGACTGTGTCACGTCGTGCCTTCTTGGAGGCTGACTGCTCCCTCCAGCTCAAGGTGAGCTGACCCAAAATAACAACAGTCGTGTCTCTGGCTGTGTTTCACCTCCACCTGGCGCTTTGCATGGATCTTCTGCTGCTTAGGCAGACGGCTTCTCTGCTCCCTGTTCACAATGGGGATTGGAGGCTTGGATCCAGTGGTGACCTCAGCGTTACTGGGAGTGTGACAAGACCCAGAGTAAAGCTCTGCGGTGATGATAGAGAGGGGAAGAAAGCACCTTTGCTGGGATTTCTCTTCTCATGTTTCAATGTGCCATTTTCCCTTGGTTATTAATTACTCTCTAAGTGAATAAAAACTGTGTACTGATTATTTATTGCTGTGCAACCAGTTGCCTGAAAAAAATAGCATATCCAAACAGAAAACAAAATGATTATCTCACACAGGCTTTGAGGGGCAGGAATCTGGAAACAGCTCATTTGGGTGGTTGTGGCTCTGGTCTCTCAAGAGGTTGCAGTGAGGGTGTTGGCTGGGGCTGCATCATCTGCAGACTCAACTGGGGCTGGAGGACCTGATCTCAGGATGGTTCCCCTCATGACTGTTGGCTGGAGGCCTTGGGTTCCAGTTGACTTCTAATAAGAGACCTCATTTCATCCATGTGGACTTCTCTACAGGGCTGCTTAAGTGCCCTCACTTTATGGCAACTGGGTTTCTCCAGAGCGGGAGACTCTGATGACTTCTGAGATGGTTCCCTACATTCGGTCCCCTGGAGTACATGTCCTTGCAATTTCCTCCCCTTGAGTGTGAGCTGGACTTACACAAATGGTGAGATCTCACTCCCACGGTTATGTTACATTATACAGCAGAAGGAATACCACAATCTAGATCCTCGATCAGTAGATTGGATTAATCAGAAAGGAGATTATCCTGGGTGGGCCTGATCCAGTAAGGGGATCCTTCAAAATGGATCATAGGGATTTGAATCCAGTGATGTTCCTGCTGGCCTTGAAGAAGCAAAGCATCATATTTTGGAGGGGTCCAGGTGCCAAGGACCCAAGAGAAGCCTCTAGGAGCTGAGAGTGTTCCTAACCCCTGTTGAGGTTGGTAGAGAGGGCTCCAGACCTCAACTGAGATCTCAGTCCTGGCCAGCACCTTGATTTCAGCCTTGTAGGACCCTGAGCAGAAGACCACCTATACTGTGTCTGTGGCCTAGAGAACTGTGAGATGATACATTTGCAAAGTTAAGAATAAGTTCCTGGTAATTCATCATGCAGCAACAGAAAATGAATATGCTCATTCCCTGAAGCTGCACCCCATCACTTCTGCCTTTTTGCTGTTTGTCAGAAGTTAGTCACTAAGGCCACCCACACATCGGGGTGCGTCTGCCTGTTGAAGAGACTGTTGAAGAACCTGTGGGCTTCTTTTAAACCAGCACAGGCCGGGCAGTGCATGTAATGGGATCATGTTGATACACACAGTGTGGAGATAAACAATGGCTAATCCTTCTAACATCCAGAGTGAATTTGCACAGGCTGATAATGGATTTAGGTAAGACAAGTGAGCATTTTCTTTTAGGAAGTGACAATCCCAGGTACAATGTGGTAGGCTGGTACTTTTTTTCCCCTTTTGATGCTCCCTTGCAAGCAATCGACCGAGAAATTTTGTAGACACATAAGGAGGATGGAGCATTCCTGTCTTTAATTTGAAAGTTGTGATATGTTAATCAGCCACAGCCTGAGCCTTGCAGGAGTGCTATATTTGGGACATATTAGATAGCATCTTCCAGATGGAGTTGGGTAGGAGGACATGGGTGGAGTTCAGATGACAACCCACAAGCAAATCTTTTGGGACACTTTTAATGAGAAAAGTTCACTGTCACCAAAGCTACATTCCACTTCTGAGCCATAAAACAACTCTTGGATCTTGGCTCTTAGATTAACCAGTCTTCAACATTTGCCATTATGTCAGACTTAAAAGCAATTGGAAGTTTTCTGGCTCTGCTTGGACCATTAGAGATCAACCGGTAAAAGCATAAATGCTGGCTCAGAATTTCTTTAATTCCCACAAAATTTTCTCCTACATGGCTACTTAGATAAAATGACGACGCCTTTATGTCCCATTATTCAAGCTCTGCCTTTTGTGTTCCTAAGGACTGTGGTCTGGCTGGTGACTGTGGCTCAGAGAACCATCACTTTTATAAACAGAGGAAGGCCACATGCCTGCGACTTTATCTTCCCAAGAAGGAGAGAAGAGAAAAAACAAACTGGATAATTTAAGAACATGTCAGCAATTTGGCAAAAGTTAGAGAAGTGAAAGAGCCATATGAGTTCATAAATAAGCCACAGATCCCAGCTGGATTTAGTAAAAATCCCCAAAAGATTTTTAATGACACCAGTCAAGTTGGTTTCATTTCATCTTAGCTCTGGCTGGTGGCCTACAAGGAGTGGGATGGATGGGGGCACAAGCTCACACAGGTTGTGGTGGGGCAGGGTGGGGTTAGAAAGTAGTCCACTCCCAAAAGGCTTGCAAGCCAGAGATGAAAAGGAGCCAGGCCACCTCTTGGGCTGCCTGGACTGAATTTCCCATGGAGTCTATTAATGTGGCTGCATTTTCACAATGATGATGGTGAGGACAGCAAGTTTGATAGCCAAACATCCCAAGAGAAGAGGACTTGGGGACAGGGAGTGCACTTGGGGCCCACCCAAGGCGTTTTTTTTTTTCAAGACAGAGTATTGCTCTGTCTCCCAGGCTGGATGCAGTGGCATAATCTCAGCTCACTGCAACCTCCACCTCCCAGGTTCAAGTAATTCCCATGCTTCAGCCTCCCAAGTAGCTGGGACTACAGGTGCATGCCACCACACCTCGCTAATTTATATCTTTATTATAGTAGAGATGGCTTTTGCCATGTTGGCTAGGCTGGTCTTAAACTCCTGACCTCAGGTGACCTGCCTGCCTTAGTCTCTCAAAGTGCCCCCCAGGTCTTGAACACCTGTGATCCCTCAATCTGAGTCCAGAGGGAGCTGGTCCTGCTTGGTGCACTGACCCTTAGATCTGGGTGCGGATGGAGAGCTGATGCCCCCACAACAGCCTGCTCTGGCCTCTTCTTCTGCAGGTCGTGGTGTCTGTGTGCTAGAACACAGGAAACACAGGGAAGAAATGATCTTGCATCACAGGCCATCTGTCTTCTGTTGGAGGCAAGTTTCTCACCTTCTGCACAAAGACTCCCAATTTTTGCCATTTTCTCAGATTGGGGAGAAGAAAGGAGTTTCCCTGAATCCCTGGAACTTCCTGAACTGAGCTAGGAAACCGAGTGGGAGCTGAGACTTGCCCCAGACTGCTCCACGGACAGCAGGTGTCAGGAGGAGGCAGCCTGTCTGCAGCCCTCCTCTCCTGGGCCTTGCCGTGAATCCTCACCCAAAGGTGTTGTGCTGAGTTAAGGTAGAATGTGCACACATTTTATCACTTAATCCTCACAACAGTCCTAAAAGGCAGTGTTTGTTTATTCTTGTCTCCTTTATAGGTTAAAAAGCTAAGCAGCAGTTGTCTTGTTCAAGGACAGAGGCCTACCTAGTAAGTGGTTGAACCAGGGCTCAAGCCCATGCCCTTCAATCTCACACTCTGGCACCCTCATATCCACAAACTCCTCAAAGCAGTACTCTAGATCTTTGGCTGGAGGAATCTACAGTGACAAACCCAGCAAAGAGATCTTGAATTGGCCCAACAGGCACACAGGGGTCAGAGTTGCATGGAGGAATTCAGTCTAGGTGACTCAGCACCTGGCAAAGAGAAACATAATTTATCTGGGCATCCACTCACTCACT